AAACCATCGAAATAGTTGTTCCCCGCAATGCGTGGATTTTCACTAGTTAATTAAATATAGTTTGCACGAAAAAAACATCTAGCAAAGTCACAAAAGATAAGTAAAGCAAGAAACGCCACACCAAATATTCAAAGTGATGCAAAATCTAACTACAATGTCACCTCAATTGATTATAGAATCTGAAACGGTTGTTAAACATGTAACAACGTATATGAATTAATCCCAGTGGTAAGACCAACAAATATTATTAAAACACACAACTTTACGTTAAATTATCATCAATATCTCCGTGATTTATTTCCTGCAAACGATTCCAATACCACTGCTCGATCCACCAGTGCAATCAACAGTGCTTTGATTCAGTAACAACGGCTCGATCTTGTCCAAACTGGTTGAGCCCCCCACGTAAACACAAGCATTACAACTTGTTTCAAGAAGCGACGCCGTTCTGTATTTATCTTCCCCACCGACGACCGGCATGGCCACGCCTGGTTTTGCCGGATTCTGAAAGTCCTCTCGGTATGTTCTTCCTAAAACACCCTCCACATTCGGCGACAACCTCGAGAACCGAAACTGAACTTCGAGATGGGCAAAACAGTCATTCTCAGGTGTCTTGTATTTATGAATCATGTCGTCTTCCTTTGTCACAGGAACCACATTGACCCAAATCTCGGCAAGTTCGGGTAAGGTGACCAGCACGGAGTTTATGTCTGAAGTTCTCTCGATATGGATATAGCCATCTTGATGAGTCCACACCGATGAATCTCCTATTGGTAAAGAGATCTCTTTTCCCTCGTACGAAAGACGGAGATGGTCAACTTGGTGGTCCCATTTCGCCGCCTTTGTTGCCTCGAGTGAAAAGGTTTTACTGTCGGGGCCGAAAATTAAACCCAAGGATTGGATCCATGTGAAGTCTCTGTTTCGGCCAGAAGGTCTAAGACCAATGAAACGTGCGTTGACTTGAAGGTCAATGTCGGAGACGAGTGCAAAATGCTCATCGCGTTTCCCGTGAAAGTAGAAGACAATACCGTCACCGCCGATAAAACGTGGATCTAAGCATGCCGATCCTTTGCCGTTGCAATTAGGCTTCCTATCTGTTATATAATATGATAATTTTTTGGGTTAAATATATGTTATGATTATTATTCGTTATGACATGATTCTTGTAGCAACATGCATGCATTCTACAAAGTTTAAATCAATTTGGTGATTGTAAAAACTACTAAGTTATGGTAGACCGCGTAAATTTCTAAATGAAAAAAGGGGTATCTAAAGCGTAAATCGAAATGTTTTTGTAAAACAGAACCGCCGATAAACCGTTTGTAGTTCGACAGTAATATACGAGTTTTTAATCTCAAGATACAACCACAATAAAACAGTTTCGCAAAACCCGTAATAGAATCTCTACGAACTATATATCTATAATATACCCTCGACACTTATTTTTTTCAAAAACGATTGAGATAGAGGGAGAGATGAATTATTCTATGAATGATGAAATGAATGAGGCGAGAGGTTTTATTTATAGTCCAAGAAGAACATTTCACGATCCGTTTTTGTTATTGTTTTAGAGAATATAATATGAAAATGATATCGTTACTTACTTCGGCAAGTGGCTTTGCATATAGGGTTAAAACAATCAATGACGCATGCCTTGGAGCTGCCATTGGGAGGCGAAAACGAAGGGCATTGCTTTGGACAAGTCTGCTTCTTAAGGAAGCATGGACTCTTTCTTACGAAACATGTCTTCGTTTCCGATGCTGCTTCGAGTTGTATAATGACCGTGAACGCATATAGCATGACCATCAATCCAACGTAGAACCCGTTGATGCACTTTAGATCTCCCTTCATTGCTTTGCCTTCTCCTGGGATATGAATGATCGTATTCCTCATATACCCTCTTTTTATAGAAAACATGCATGTTTGGCAAGTTGGCATTTTGGCAAGTTGGCATTTTCTTTTGAATACTTCAAAAATTCCTGTGTATGTACACAGATGCACATTACTCTCTTCTAAACGAATTTTAATAGGTCTATTGTTAAGTCAATTCTCTAAGATATTTATATTAGGTATATTGTAAAGTCAATTTTCTAAGATATTTATAGTTTCGGTGGCGGCATTAGTACATCAATATCAAAATATTAACAAATGTGTTTAAGTCGTTTTTAAAACAATAACACAAATCATTAGATATATATAATTTTTGTTTATTTGAAAACATAAAATTCCAATCATATATGTTTGGATCATTAGTAAAAGTATATTTTTCCACCAGATCTTTGTGCAGAGTTAATATATCATAATGTGTATCTTCATCTCCTTAATTTATAAAATTTTCTTCTGTAATTGTTTTTCTAAGAGCCTCAACTACTACGTACCACCTTATAAAAGATAGGTGTGCATGGAAGTAATTCTCATTAACATACTATTTATTTTGTAAATTTTAGTGATGATATGAAGATCTTAATAGAAAAAAGTATGTTTGTG